GTATTAGATCTAGATCTAGATCTAATAGATCTAGAACAATATATGTCATCTATCACCGCTATTCATGCACAAACTGGCATCTGAAGATTTTGTGCCCTTCATTCCTTAAGACAAACATGCGCCCTCAAACATTAGGATCCCAGCACAACATTGTAAAACTTCCATACTGTCAAACCTACCACCCAGTGCTCAATTCCTTTTTCTAGAAAGGCAAAATTCTATTTTAAACTTAGCTTAGCAAAAACAATATTAAGCAATTTTCCTTTAAGACAAACCAAGAAGAAATGCATTAACTTGACAAAGCTCAAGTTATTGCTTTAATGAAGATTTTTGTTAGCTAGAACTCCCACCTGAAATGACTCATTCAAAACAGAGTATCTGTAAACATTCCCAACTTGCTCTGAAGACCTCATTTCAAACTGCCTCACAGCCTTGAAACTCACTATTCCAAATGGCAGGCTGATAATCACATAAAGATTGCATACACCTGAGCTTGATTGAATCCATTTGCTCATTCCTTTGATCAGTAAATTTCAAGATATTTTCTGGAAAAAAAAATTTTAACTTTAAACATTTTTTTAAAAAAATTAAAGATTAGGGGCGCCTGGGTGGCTCAGTCGTTAAGCGTCTGCCTTCGGCTCAGGTCGTGATCCCAGAGTCCTGGGATCGAGCCCCGCATCGGGCTCCCCGCTCGGTGGGAAGCCTGCTTCTCCCTCTGCCTCTGCCCCTGCTTGTGTTCCCTCTCTGCTGTGTCTCTCTGTCAAATAAATACATAAAATCTTAAAAAAAAAATTAAAGATTCACCACCAGGTTACTCTAAATAGCAAGCTTTCCATAAGCATTTAATATTTAAGTTTAGACACTGAAGAGGAAATGATATCATTCATATGAAATGTCCAGAACAGGGAATCTACAGAGATAGAAAGGAAATGAGTGGTTGCTCAGGGCTGGCGGAAGAAGAGGTAGAAAGAGGGCAGCTAAAGGGTATGGATTTCTTCTGGAAGTAATGAGAATGTTCTAAAATTGACTGTGGTGATGGCTGTACAACTCTGAATATACTAAAAAACATTAAATTGTGTACTTTAGGTAGACGAATTAGATGGTATATAAAGTATATCTCAATAAAGCTATTAAAAATATTTAAGAGGAGACTGTACACCAGAAAAAAGATCCCCACCAGTTAGGTGGACATATACACAATACTACATGTGTATGTATGTACATTACAATATCCCATTAATTACTTCTCATTTCTAGAAAGTGAAGAAGAGGGTGACTTCATAATTAAGGCCCTAGAAAAATCAGCGCTTAGGGGAAAAAGACCACGTCCTATTTCTTCATGATTACAATAATCCAAATTCACTGGCTTCAATAATGTTCTAAAATTGACTTACACCTACTACAGCTTCAAATCAATCACTGGTGTTATTTTCAGTGTTGAGAACAAGAACAAGGTTTAGAGAGACATCTACTGACATGGGGCAGACCCTCCCAGAATTTCAAGAAATTGCTTGGGATTTGGAGTTACCATGTCGGGCACTCCCCTAGGGGTGCCAAGGCCCTAGTCAACTCCAGCATGACCTTACTCGTACTCACCAGGCCCAGCCTCTCTATTGGATACAGTAGTTGAAACATTAACCCTATACTTTCATTGCCTGTCCTGAATTGTACCATTCAACCCCTCACCAACCTTCCCCACTACCTGAGAACCATGTCCCTCCTTAGCAAAACTCTGATCCCTTTTCTGAAGTCAAAATGCCAGGTACCCACAAAGACAGTCACAGTGCAACTACCATGATCCGAGGCTCCAAGCCAGAGGGGGCCTGGAGTAGGGAAGGCCAGGGAGAACACCAGCCTCCTGAGGTGTATAGCAGCCACAAAATCAGTACCCTTGACTCCTGGGTCTGTCCCACCTGGTCTCTTCTTTTCAAAAACTGATTTAGAAGCAAACAATCTGGGATAAATACTCCATACTCCTGCCTCCAAAAAAAAAAATAAATAAACAAAAAACCCTTTCTCAAGAAAAATTAAGAAAAAAAATAATTTATCAACTCCATCAAGTCCCTTTTATGAAAATATTCCTTTGAATAGTTTTATCAACTTTTAGCAAATTGTCATGGCCAAGAAAAAAAGTTTAATTAAAAGAATATCTTTATAAGACTTGACTTCAGCAATATTAAAGTATGAAAATAATGTGGCTCAACATTTTGTAAAATCCTTAAGCTTTAATGCCAAGAAGTTTTATAATCAGTTCCTTAATGAACAAAAATTCACATTACCACTAGTAATTCCCCTAAATATAGGGTAGAGGTGAAGCAAATACTCAAAAGCCATTTTATAAAATAGCAAGGGTCACATTTTAATTTCTTCGACCCTATTCAATGTATGCTGAAACATATTCACAGGATAAGCCATGAACTCAGAAATTGTATGAATTTTAATATTTAAGATATTTCAACTAATGCAATTATATTCTTATACAAGACTTAAATAGAATATTTGGTATCTATCTACTTTATTCCTAGCCAACCTGACTCCAGAAAAGTACAAGTGAAACCGTACAACAGGTAGCCACTTGAAAAATCAGATAATAAAATCAGCCTCAAAATTCAGCTTTGCATCTTGATTGCAGAAAGAATAGTGAAGCCACATTAACAAGGCTATTAAAAATCTTCACCTTCCATATAATAGAAAATTTAAACAAAACAAAGACCCTTATTTTCCCAACTTTAAGCACGCGTAAATGGATACCGAAGTCAAAGAAATTAAGAGGAATTAAGCAAAAATACTACTCAAAAACATCCTAAGATTTAAAAAGAAAATTCTTCAATTTTAGATCCTTATATTGCATATGTGTGTGTATTAGCCTAACACATTTACTATCTAAAGTATATCGTATAGTGAAATATATAGTATAGTACTTTATATAGGAATTTCTTGAACCCCAAAATCAAGCAAAGAAAAAAGAGACAGGATATAATCTTTTTTTAAAGTAACCTTTCCATCTTTTTAAAAGCAATTGAATAGAAACACATATAAGGTATGAAGAAATGGAACTGTATCAGCAATAAAGGATTCCAAATGGTTTTAAGTATATTCACAGAGTTGTGCAATCACCACCTCAGAATGAAACCCCACGTACATTAGCAGTCACTCCCATTTCTCAACCTCTTCCTGCTTCCCTAGCCCTAAAAGTCACTAATCTATGTCTCAATGGATTTGCCTCTTCTAGACATTTCCTGTAAGTGGAATAAGGCCTTATGTGTCTAACTTCTTTCATTTAGCATAATGTTTAAGTCTCACCCCTATTGTAGCATGTATCTATATTTTGTTCCTTTTTATGGCCAGTGGTATTCCACTATATGGATAAACCATATTTTATTTATTCATTCACCAGTTGATAGACATTTGAGTTGTTCCACTTTGGGGCTATTGTGAATAATGCTGCTCTGATCATTTGTGTACATGTGTTTATGTGCACATAGGTTTTCCTTGATCTTGGGTGGATACTCCTAGGAGGACTGGTGGGTCACATGGTAATTTTACATTTAACCTTTTGAGGAACGGCCAAACTGTGTTCCAAAGCAGCTGCACCATTATTCATTCCCATCATCAGTGTATGGAGGGCTCCAATTTTTCCACATCCATGCCAAGACCCAATGCCTGTTATCTTTTTGATTAGAGCCATGTGAGTGTGTGGAGTAATAACTCATTGTAGTTGATGCCCTGTATTTTAAACCAAGCCCACTCATTCTTGAATGGGACCTCAGCTACTCTTCTAGGCTACTCTTTTAGGTGAAGAATATGCCCCAATGGTCATTCTTAAAACCCAAAATAAAGCCAGGATAATCTAACATTCCCTTAATAAGTGAAGGTATCACCTCCATATAAAATGCACCATTATTCTACCACAAACTCTATCAAGCTATAATCATGCCCAACAGCCAAACCTTTTTCAAAAGATGTCAAGCTAAGCAGCCTATGTAAGCACTAATGCTGAAATGGAATACTTAAACATGCAACGAAGGTTTAACCAGAACTTTACAGAAACACTGGATTGGAATTCAAGCTTGTCAATAATCTATGTGTAACCTGATCATTTAACTTGTCTACACCTGAGCATGAGTTCCGAGACACTCACAGAACTACATCCTCTGAAGTCACTCACATAAAGTTGTCTGAGTCTGAAAGTTTAATGAAATTTTAAAAAGTACTAACACGCATGCCTAAAGATCTAGCTTTGCACAGCAGAAAGAATTTGAGCTACAGGAGTCAGAGAAGGCGGGTGCTACGTGCAGCTCTGTCGATTAGTAGCTGTATCACCACAGGTACATTATTTAACATCTTTCTATCTCAGTTTCCTGATCTGAAGGTAATGCCTTCAAGAGGTTATGAGGATTCCTTGATCTAGTACAGCTAAAGCATCTATCGGTAGCCAGCAAACAAGTAGACACTTAAATGTTAGCGGAAAGATGGATGAAAGCTAACTCTGGGCAAAGTTTCCCAGCAAATAAAGACCTCATAACCAGTGTTGGGGACCACTTAGGGCCGAATGCGAGTCCTTGTGACCTGTGGGATTCCTTTATAAAGCACTTCCCCACATTATGGTCTGCAAATTGATAAGGAGAGCTATCATATGGCTTAAAACAGGACTAGGAGGAATTCTTGGAAGGGAAGGATGAAAAGATAAGAGACCTCATTTTTGTCAGGGACAAAAGAATAAAAACTTCCTCAGGGCTCACAGAGAGCCTGAGCACAGAACAGATCCCACGGAGAGAAAGGTAAAGGCTGTATTCACATGACTCCATTGGAAGCTCAGGTAGAGACTGCCAAGCTCTAGGGGGACGGGGCGGCGGCGGGGGCGGGGGAGAGAGCGGGGGCTGGCGGAGGAGAGAGGGGTGGGAGCTGGCTAGGTGTGTGGAAAAGCTGCCAAGAAGAAGACGAACCCCATCCCAGCTGTGAATTAACTGTCCTTGCGTCTCTCAGCCGCCTTCCCCTACCTGATCTGGTTGTCACGGAATTTGTTGAGATGCGGTTGGTTGAGGTAAATGGTGCGGGCTGGTGCCTCCAGCTGGTCTCCAACAGACGTGGCCCGGGACATCTCATCCTCTGCCTTCTTGTAGCCCGAAGAAGGACGAACAGGTCCTGCAGAGACGGGGCGCGGGCAGAAAACACAAAGAAGTCACGCCAGGCAAGAGGCAGCGAACACGGGCTGCGGGCTGGCGGGCGGGGACCAGCTGGGAAGGATGCTCTGGGCGCTGCTGGGCCCGCCTATGTACCTTGGCTCCCCCTGGAGACCTGCCGCCGCAGCTGCTCACGGCTCCGCCCCGCCCCCTCCCGCGCCCCACCCCCGCCCTGGTCCCCCGGGCGCCGAGGAGGGAGCCTCTGCCGCCGCCGACTCCGCCCCGCCCCCTCCCGCGGCGGCGGCAGCGTGAGGACCGGCTGCCAGAGGCACGGCTGCCGGCTGCAGGGGCGGGGAGGGGCCGCGGGAACAGTGGGGCCGGGGCCTCCCCCCACCTTCCCGCGGTAAGCTCCCTCTGCGGGCCCACGGACTGCGCTCCGGATCTCGGTTTTCTGGGCTGCTTTGATTGTGCTCAGGACAAAGATACCAGCAAAGGGGATGTGCCCTGCGTTCAGTCACCGCATAAAAGGATGGTGAAAGCACATCTCCATGCCCTACAAACGAAATTCCCAACCCTCCGGGTGATGGGCTTGGCTACCTCATGAGCCTGAATGCACCAGCTGCCTTTCTCCCCAGAAGTGCCTGGCAACCTGAGTGTGGTAGCTTTACCAATCCCAGCTCGCGGAGGGATGCATGATCTCTCATTTCATAGCTCCAGTTAGGTTTCTGTGGTTAAGACACAAGCAAGCCTGTCGCTTTAAGAGTTGATTTCAGTCCTACAGTCAAGCCTCTCTGTGAGCTCAACCTCCCCATAACCTTCACGTAGGGAGGTGTCAGCATGGAGAATAATGATATGCCCATTAGTCACACTGCTACACCTGAGCACACACAGCCAGTCAACCCCGTCTCCAACTCATCACAAGGGGCAACCCACCTCAAGAAGGGACCTTCAAGGAGGGGTGCCTGCAGCAAAGGATCACAGAAAAATAAATGCCCTACAAATGCAGCCTTCTCCCTTTCTCCTTACATATATTTTCACTCTAGTATCTGCCATGCTTTCCACCTATCAAAGAGAAGAATGATGTATCCTGTTTAGGAAACGGACATCTCATTTCAGTCAACATCTACTTCACAGCTACAACAAATATTCACTGACAGAGAAAAATCTTGAAACAGAAAGTTTCCGCTATTGAAGAATGTCATTTTTTTAAGTGATTATAATCCTATTATAATCTTTATCACAAGCGGAGGACAATCAAAACGTGTAATCGGTTGAGAGCTGACATATCCCGAAGAGTATTCATAGCTGGGTCCCTGGTCATAGCAACCTGGCTTTTCCCCATTAAGGGACTCCATCCTCAGATCCTCACTCCCTGCCTCCGCCTCCACTCTCCCCCGGTTTCCTCTGGCTTGGGGTGGGGGAAGGGGGAGGGGGACTACTCTGTCCTCTGCTTATGGAAAAGGGGCAGCAGAGAGCAAAAGTCCCTACTCCAATACTCACTTGCCTGAGAGCTTAGGCTCCCACACTTCAGTCAGAGAAGGCTAGCTTTTAAAGCATGTGTTGATTTAAGGCAGATAGGCTAGTTTCAAAAATATTCCCTATATAGAAATATTGCTTTTCTCTTGGCCCACTTACCCTGCTTTATCTCCAGCATTTATCATCATTACCTGGCATTATTCATCTATGGTCTATCTTCCCATGGCCAAGCACAGAAGCTCCAGGACAATAGGACATGTTTTGTGCACTACAGTGATCTCAGCACCTACAACAGTGCCTGGCACATAAAGGGCATTCATATTTGCTAGTCGAATAAATCATTTTCTTATAAAGCGTCGCTTTGAATTCTCCAGGCAGAGATGCAGTGATATGCACAGAGGGCTCAATGGCCATATACTCATATGGGTCAGAATAGTTCAATGCTTAGACTGTATTCACTCAGTGGCTCTTGATCCTTGCTGCACATTATCACCACAAAGGGAGCTCCCACAATTAACTAGATCCTGGGCCCAACCCTCACAGATTCCGACTTGTTTTACTCTGTTTTAAAGTAACTTAAGAGAGGTGGGCCTGGGTGGATCAGTCGGTTAGGCACTGACTCTTAATCTCAACTTCGGTCTTGATCTCAGGGTTGTGAGTTCAAGCCCCATGTAGGGCTCCACGCTGGGCATGGAGTCTACTTAAATAACAATAATAATAATAATAAAGTAACTTAAGGGATACGAGTGGGAAGCCACAGTTGAGAATCACTTGTTATATGCTGCTGGGAACACAAAAAACAAAAGATCTGGCTCCTGCTCTCAAAAATTTTAACCAATTTAAGGTGCTAAGGTATAACCATGGTTACCAATAAGCCACAGTTTATGATAAGTGACTAAGAGTGGGCTTGAAAGTGCTAAGGAGGGTCAGGAGTCAGCAGCCTGTTTGTGCTTGAGGGGAGCCAGTCAGAACAGAGTTTGAGGACAGATATGAAAGACTTAACGTATGGGTAAGATTTCTATTAGGAAAGAGGAAGACAGGGACATTTGGGGGAAGAATAAGAAAAAGCTTAGGCAAAGGCCCAAGTAGACAAGATGTATATGAAGCCAATTAAACCAAACAAACAAAAACCAGCACTGAGGGTCCAAGTGGGAAACAGAAAGCTTCTGTGGTGGGCGGGGGGAGTGTGGAGGGGTGAAAGACTGGGGAGGATTTAAATGCCAGGCAAAGAAGCTTAAACTTCATCCTGAAGGTCATATGAAGCCACAGTTTCTAAGCAGGAGAGAAATGTAATTGGCAGCAATATACAAGTAGGAGCATAAAGAGGGGAGAATTTGTAGATGAGGAGATCAGACAGGAAATTAATTCTACCTCTAGAAGCAAGGCGTTAAAAAGCAAAAATTAAATGGAGAATGGGTAAAAAACATGGACAGAAGAACCATCTCAAAAGAAAACCCTGCAAGACTTTTTTGGACTTAGTGTGTGGGCCAGAAAAAAAAGACGATTGGGTAATTGGGATTTGAAGAAGAGAAGATTGGGACAAAAAAAGCACTACTGATAGAAATGAGAATGGAGGGGCGCCTGGGTGGCTCAGTCGTTAAGCGTCTGCCTTCGGCTCAGGTCATGATCCCGGGGTCCTGAGATCGAGCCCCGCATTTGGCTCCCTGCTCAGCGGGAAGCCTGCTTCTCCCTCTCCCGCTCCCCCTGCTTCTGTTCCCTCTCTCACTGTGTCACATAAATAAAATCTTAAAAAAAAAAAGAAAGAAGAAATGAGAACGGAAACAGTTTTCCCAAACAAGAATGTAAGTGTTGGATAACAAATATTGGGGTGCAAAACAATTACACCATTAGTGATAGAACTACATGAAATAATGTCTCCCAAGCACCTACCATGCATGAGGCCAGCTCACCTTTCTACACTACAACAGGGCCAGCCCTAGAATTTTATTCTAGGTAGCAATCATTATAGTTTCCCCCTACCTAAGACTCTGATGACTTTCTTCTACCTCAGTGGCTTCATCTTGACCCAATCCTGCTTTGGAGAAAAACATTAATCTTTTCAAAATATCCCACATCTGTTGAAAATGTATCGCCCAAAGAAAACACTATACCATATATAGTGAAGCACATTATGACTAAGGTTTCAAATTCAGACTCATGAGATGAATCCTGAGCTAATGCATTTTGAAAATACCACCATGCAAAATTAGAGTAGATGCTTACAACTCCCCCTTATAAACAAGCACGGTGTCAGCAGACAGTGGGAGTTCAATAAATATCTGTTGAGAAAGAAACCAAAGTAAAAAGGATAAAGAGAAACAAGAGTAGGCAAATGGGCAAGCACCAAGCTTGCCTACTACAAAATGGAAATGCAGACAACACAGCTGACGGCCAAGGGCACGAGGGCACGGACTTTGTCTTGCTCATGGTTCTAGCGCCATCATCCTGAATGATGCCAAGCACACAGCAGGCAGTCTGTAAACACAGACAAATAAAAGGCTAATGTAGCAGGTGATTTTTGAGGACGCCTACCCAGCTGCTGAACCCCAGACTCCCTTGTCTGGTAACTGAACCTTTCCCCTCCCACACGCAGGCCAGGCAGCCTACAGACAGGCCTATAAAATGCAATGCCCTTCATCCATCACAGCTCTCTGCCCTGGGGACAGTTACTTGGTCCAAGTTGGACCATTAGGAGTCTTCTGGAAACTGACAGGGGACCTAAGGAAGATGGTTTCTGCATGTAGCTGCTCTATGAACATATACACTCCGGGTCTCTGGTGGCCATCTCCTACCCCTGGAGCAGGCAGGGAAGGAAAGGGTTTCTTTGGGAATAAAGATGAAGCAGTTTCATGGAGAGCAACAGAAACTATCCCAACAGCTTTCTGGATTCTGGGTAAAGTCCCCTTCTAGATTCCAGCTATATTAGGGTCTTTGGGTTCCATGACCCACCCTGAATAACCAGAAATGCCAACCAGTACGGTAAGGGAGCACACAGAGAACCTATTTTTCCCTTTAAGACAGATGAGCAAGTAAGGTTAATGAGGAGGGAGCAATAACTCTTCACATAGAGATCACCCTGTTGGGGGGGAGGCAAGGTTTTAGATGCCTCTGGCACAGGTGCCCTTAGATGCCACAACCCACACCCAGGGAAGCCAGATCTGACAGAGGAACGTCTGCATGGCAACATTTAGGTTGCCTGGTTTGGATAAAGCCCAGCAATAGCTAGAAGGTGATCAGCTAAATAAAGAAGCCCCTCCTCCCTTGAGACTTTCTGCCAGGATAGGAGAAAGAATCCTAAGAAACAGAGATAGATGACAGGCACAGTCTCCTGCTGGAGAGCATTCTCTAAGAGGACAGATAAAGAATAGGAAAGGGGCAGAGGAAAACAGGCTAGTTCTAGTGCACATGCCACTGACACCCACAACTCTTCCATGGGCCCCAGCCACACCGTGGCTCTAGCTTGCCTGTGAATCTCCTCCTACTCACTTTGTCCATGTCCTGGCCCAAATTTCTCACTCCACTCACACAACCTGTCTGTGGCAACAG